TAGGTTAATGGAGTTGCATTTCAAAATAAATGGGGAAAAATCTTCAATTTATGCTAAATGTAGTTTAGTTTTTAATAAATACGCGTATCTACTACATAAATTTTCATGCAAAAATGCATTTTGTTCTTAAAATAGTATTTTCTATAAACGAAATGTTAAGACATTTCTTAGAGTGCATTAAAATCTAATCATAAGAACATTACGTTACTCGAACTCGAACGTACGGGGAAATTGCAACTTCAAATGAGATTTTCTTGCAAACATATAGTGCGAGACGTCTATCTAAATAACATCTCAGGAAGAAAGTATTGCTATTTATGTTTTTCTCTTGTACTTATCAAGCATATTACCGGTAATCATTTATTCATTACGTGCATCCCGGTTTATCGCGGTTCCCATTGGACCAGTCGTAAGGAACACTTCTCGGTCATTGAACTGCAAGCTTGTAATTCTAGGGTTGTCAATTTACTATATTTACAATTCTATTATTTTTAGTGTTTTTGTAAAGGAAAATAATATTTCGATCTTACGTACTATTGTTTTAAATTATTAATGCTTTGTTCATAAATGTAGCTAGCTAGTAGTAGCTCCTAAGTAAACAATCGTATGTCCAAAAATAACATATGATAGACAAAGGAAATCAAGAATTAAAACAAATCAACTTATTTTCATAAACATTATTATAATTATATTAATTTTGAGATACGATTATTTACGTAGGAGTAAACTTACGGCCGAATATTGAAACGCCATTTTCTTTTTTTTCATTTAAAATTTAAGTGTAACTCCAAAATCCTTACAAATTTAACCGTCTATCAGTTTAAAAGCGTCGCTTCCGAAGCGAATTATTTAAGATTTGTTTCATTATTTGGCCCTTAGTCTCGAGAGATATAACTATTTATGTCGAATAGGAATCATTCTTCAATATTAAATTACAAATAATAACCACTAAATAACATTGTCCATTGCAAATGTCCGCAATGTCAAACGTGAGGGTCAAATCGGTCACGATGTACTTTTTATGATAAGGATGCAGTTTTTGTAATAAACATTACGATATATTAAAAATAATGATTGTAATAACACGAAAATATGATATGCTTTTAAATCCTTTGTTTACAGGTTTGTATTTAAAGCATATATTTATATGTGTTGTTTGAATACTTTTCAAAAGATAAGAAAAATGTTTCAGTTGCAGGTGTTTTTATAATTTACTCTTTATTAAAATATTGTTTCACATTGATATTAAAATAAATAGCATTGTATTTCATTTTTTATTTGTTTTTAAATTTTGACGAAATAAATAAAAAAAGTGAGATAGCGACCCTGCCAGGATTCGAACCTGGAATCTTCTGATCCGTAGTCAGACGCGTTATCCGTTGCGCCACAGGGCCCATGGTAGATAACACAAAATTTATAATTACATTTACAGACAAAATCAATGTCGTACGATTTTTTACATTAGCAAACTACAAGATATCATTTCTTTCCTCACACCTTTATATGGTCAAGAGTGTTTTTACACTACTTAATCGTTATTACGTCAAGGAAATTCTTGGAACCAAAGTATAAGCGGTTCGTGAGATGGACGCCATTTTTTGCCGTCACAAATTAAATTCGAATTTCGAACTGCACGTCAAATTATTTTTTTTTTGCTTTGCATTTTGCTACGTATTTGGACGATTAAATGACCGCTGCGACTTCTAGAAATACTTAACCTTGTAAAGCCCTTGAATGTATTAGAGAATTCAAAATTAATTGTTGTTCGTGGTTAGATGCGAGCACACGCTTGAACAAGTCAGTTTCCAATGCGGATAGAAGAAGACGCATCTAATTAAACGCATGTCCGTCGTTATTTTGAGCCGCGATAAAGTTTGAATCGTAATGTAGCTATAAGTATTAAGGGATTTAGTCTGCATTTAAATAACTAACCGTGTATTTAGAATTGAGAATGTTTCTGTATTTTTATTTGGCACTATAACGGGTCTTTTCCATTCCTAACCGCAAGGACCATGCAGTGGACGCATGTTTAAACGCAACAAACGCATGAACAATGCAGAAACAAATGAATTATTTACATTATCCGCGACGTTCTACAAGGTCGACTGCTTGTTATTATAATCGTTTAGCAAGTGTGGCGCCAATAGTATATGCGTAAGGACTGATATATGTAGGTATATGGAAGAGAAGTACTCTGCCTATCCTGAGGGAATAGGTCAAGACGATGTATTGTGTTATCCAAAATTTATACCGGCTCGCAATTTGGTACAACATGTTGTATAACTTTTGGTAGTTTATACTAATTTTTAAGAGAAAACATTTGTATTTTTGTATGTATTGAAATAACTCAAAAAGTACTTGGCCGATTTGAAAAATTCTTTCACCATTAATAGCTACGTTATCAGGGAGTCACATAGGCTGTATTTTTTAATTTCACACGGGTGAAATCGCGAGCAACAACTAGTCATTTATAACCGCAGGCTACTTTTAAGCTGTTAGTTCAGAAAGACGCTTAGAAGTGTGCATATTACAACGATTTCGTTTTATATCATTTGTCTTTGTCAATGGAGTGGCTGTAATCAGTAGTTTTTTTGGCAACATTTATGCAAGAATTCTTCTACTAAGTTCGTTTATATTTACACTTGTTTACATTACAGAATAAAATAAAAATATATGTGACGTAGTAAATATGTGTTATACCTGTAAATAAAAATAATTATTGCGTTAGAACTCTATACGTATATTTTAATAGCAATATAATGTTGTTAATTGCTTTACAATGAGTTGGTAGTCACGAGAGGTGAGCGTGCTCCTGACATTAACGTTAAATTGAACTCTATCCCCTTGACATAGAGTATAATAATGTTAGGTTTATTATGTCATCAGTTGCACCGTTTGTTTGGTCGACTTGAGTAAATGTTTTTACTCGACCGGATTTACAAGTGCTAGTATTTAATATGCTACTGTAAATGTTCTTTAGTTATATTTCTTACAGCCGGTGTCCCAACTATATTTAACCGTTTGTTAGTTTATGGTTCGAAAACTTCGTGAAATTCCTTTCCGAACTACCTAACTTGAGTTTTACTCCATTGAAACTTAGGTGGACTTAACACCAATCGAGGTTTATGCTAAGCGCCATCTGCGCTCGGCCACCTCAAGCCCGGTCAATCTGTAAATGCCTCTTCAAGGCAAACAGTAGCCATTCAGTCACAAAAAATAAATTAACACCAATAACTAGGTAACGATAAAATAAATGGAAACTTCAGATACCGAGTTATTTTCGTAATTTAAATCGTTAAAATTCCGAGCCGCTGTAAAGTTTGCATAGCATTATAAACATGTTCAACAATGTTGTGCGATATCATATTGCAGTATATTTACTACGAACGTAGAGATAAAATATCAATGCCCGTCTAAGGTTACAAGGTCGTACTGGACTTGTTTATATTTAAGTAAACAGAACTGAATATGCTGCTACTTGATAGAGTAACTTGACTATATGTCTACTAGGTACCATACACCATACATAAGAGCGGGCACATCTTTGACAACTGTTGTACGATTGTCAAATGTTTCGCAGACAATTCAACTATTTTGCACAACTAAAAATCGAGTAGTACACCTCCATAAGCTCATAGGAATCAACGCGAGACTAAATAGTTGTGCGACAGTTTAGTCAAAGGTGGAAGGGGCGCCAGATTATTATCATATCTCTCTCTTTCTCTCTCTCATGTTAATCGTCAGTCCCATCGGATAATAGAAAGTACATTTGTTTTTATAATATAAGGTGCCAAACGAGCAACCGACCACATGAAACATAAACATCCGCACAATTGCGTATGCGTTGCTTACCCTTAATCGACGGAGACGCACATAAAGAGGATATTTCCACTTCCTATGCGTCTCCGTCTCTTAATTATTCTGCTTAAATAAACTAAATAATCTAATACCGAGTAATTTCTTATAACTAATTTACTATTTGAAAATATATCTCAACATACAATCCTTACGTGATTGTTGGATTCATCATTTGTTTTCCCCTTTATAATAATGTTATTACTATTATCACAAACATCTTTAAGATAAGACCAATTCCATTGTTAATTGAAACGTATTTATTGAAATAATTAATGTGACATTTCTTAAGTACATTAATACATTAGTTTTACACGCGACTTCGACCGTGCGGAATTAAAAAAATATTTAGTACTCTGTGTTCTTTCAGATGTTCTACATCTGTGAAAAAATTCACGAAGATCCGTCCAACCTTTTAAGAGATATCTTTTAATAAACATTTAACCAAACATACAAGATTTCTCATCTATACTTATAAATTAAAGAGGAATGATTTATATCTTTGAATGTATTGCAATAACTAGAAAACTACTGGGCCGATTTAAAAAAATCTTTTACCGTTAACAAGGTAATTTATCTGTGGGTAACAGGCTAATTTAATTTTTCGAGCAAAGTAGCAAGCAACAGCTAGTAGATGTTTTTTTTTTATTTCATGGTACGTATGCTTAGTATACAATAATTTTATATCCGTGTTAAAAAATTTGCTAACCTAATTCGTCGCGACTTTTCATTATAATAGTATTTATAACCAGTTTCTAATTATAATATAGCGATACGAAATAAATCTGTAAATACATAATGATAGATTGTGAGACATTGAAACGCTTTCTCAACAACTGTTAAATTACACATAATATAATTATTTCTCTGCAGTATAATACATTTTAGATTAGTAATTTGATGTTACGAGTGTAGTAAATATTAAACGGAATAGAAGAATGTTTTTGAATAAATCTAGTACCATTGGTTTGTTTTTTATTTTTTAACTAGCTGTTTCCATGCGACTTCATCTGCACATAATTATAAATAATTCGTTTCATTTAATTGTTCATATTTGTCAAAAAATTCAATTGCAAATCTGACATGTCGTGTAATATTGACATGTATTAAATATTTTATTGACCACTCCATTATTTCTATTCCAGGTATGCGAGAAACTGGAAATCGGCGCCGAGTCTGATTACTTCGGACTACGCGTATGCCATGGCTCAGGTCCTGGAAGATGGCTGAACTTGCGCAACCCACTAGACCCTCACCGTATCCCCGGCGGTCGTCTAGAGCTTCGCGTCAAGTTCTGGGTACCACCACATCTCCTTATCAATGAACCGACGCGACATCAACACTTTTTACACGCGAAACTAGACCTTATTGAAGGCAGACTAGTAGTCGCTGATCAAGAAGTCGCACGACGTATAATCGCGTATATAGCCCAAGCAGAAACTGGCGATTGCGATGTAGATCTGCCTCCCACACATATCTATGAAGAATGCGACAAGATTGGACCTCAAGGCGTTAAACCTGAAGATCATATGGAAAAGATTATAGAATACCATTGTGAGATAGCGGGCATGAGGGCATCCCAAGCGGAGTACAGACTACTGAAAGAGATATCGAAACTCGAGTCGTTTGGTGAAGAATTATTCTTCTGCAAGCCGGTTACTCAGAGTAACAACGCTCACAACCTCTACAGCCACTTACTGTATCATAGACAGCAAGTAGAAGAGCCTAGAGCGAGGGATGAACAGGAGATAGACGGGGGAGGGACGGTCGGTTGCTTGACTTCGGGACAGAATGTGGGGGGTTGCGGGTGTCGGCTGAGTACATGCGTCGGCGTCGGCCCACACGGCATTGTCGTGTACCGCCCCGCCTGCAACGGCGACCAGGACATTGGTGTAGAAAAACAAAGGTAAGATTCTTGCCGATAGATGGCGTTGTTTTTGTTACCAATCACGCTATTAAAATCCAAAGTAATTGTGTGAAATACTAAAATACCGTTTTAAATAGAAATACGAATTCATTGACTAGCCCTAAGAATATTAACAAAGTATATTAAGGGCATATAATTTGTTGGTAAACTCAACGCACAAATGTTATATAAGGAAGTTTCACTTCTATTGTGTTGATATTTTTCATACCAAGTTTTAATCTATTGAATTCGCTTATTGTATTTGTACTTTTTAGTACTGTCTCGAAGAATTTGAATCCATATTGGATACGATATTTCCATAGATTTAACAAAAATAAAAGAAAATACTATTGTTACAATTTAAACCGACACCACATTTTTAAAACTCATCCGGGTCGCATAATCTAGTTTAAATGCGAAAAACAATGGTATCTTATCATACGTAAATATAGTTTTGCCAGAACAGACTTCACAAACACGATAAAGAATCGTGTTACGAACAAAGCAAACATTATAATTCAAACATAAATTCAATACTCGAACAAAGAGAATTAAAAAATATATAAATTATATTGTTTACATGTATAATAGAATAATAATTAGATTGTCTATTCTATAGTTATGAATGTGGAGGAGGTACACCGGTAGATGTAGACCTAGAAAGAGATGGATGTATTGCGTGAAAGGTGACATGATCAAGAAGGGAGTGATGACTGAGATGACGGATGATAGAGTGCTTTGGAGGACGAAAACCCGGTGCGCCGACCCTACGGGAGTAGGATAAGGCAGGGGAGATGATGATTGTCTATTACTACAAGATTGAATGTTATTTTTCTTACTAACGTTATGGATGGATGGATGGATGTTTGTTAGAGTTTGTAGCCTAAACGGCTGAACGGATCTCGATGAAATTTGGCATAGAAGTAGAGGATAGTCTGGAAGAACACATAGGCTACTTGCTTTTGTTTTTTCTTTATTTCGCGCGGACGGAGTTACGGTCGAAAGCTAGTACTAAATAATTCTTATTCAGAACTAGCTGTTGCCGTGCGGCTTCATCCGCATGAAATTATAAAAACTTTATGGTTTACATTTGTCAAATTCTCAATTGCAAATGTCAAAAACTATCGTTACCAATAACCTTGCTTTCTTAATGCTGGCAGCTTGTAGTTTATGGTCCCTTTCCCACATTAGGATTTTCTAATTTATTTACCCCCTAAGTTTAATAGCGTGAAAATATATATCCTAAAGCGTGTCGTAAGTGTAAGGGTTTTTATTATAGGAAGAATTATTCAAAAATATGCTGTGATTGCTGACATCCTACGCTACGAAGTAGTGTGTGTTTGCGCTTTATTATAATAGTATAGATATAACGTTTGATTCCTAACAACTATGGATAATTTAACCATATTGTTTCTTTATATTGGGTTTCGCTTGCATACTTTAGAAAAACTGTCATAAAAGCAGATATACAAAACTCTTTTCATCTCTTTCCAGCATCCCATATACGTCAATCCACCGTGCACAACCATTACGTCGGCTGTTCCAAATGACTTACGTCACGGGCGAGGGTCATGAGGCGACTTTACACGTGAAGATGGCGACCTCAGGGCAGGCGGCGGCGTTATACCGTGCTGTTACAGAGAAACACGCCTTCTACTGCTGCGAAACAGTACGCAGTGACGTCACAGAGCAGTTCATCAGGGATCTCAAGGTACGACCATAGACTATAGTTATTCTTTGACATACTATTGCAAATGTTCCCATCTCTTTCATACTCTATGACAAAAATAGAGACAAAGATGTTTAAATTCAAATGGAATTACATTTCAAATACAATTGCCTAATTCAAAAGTATTTTAGTTGTCTAAATTAATTTCGTTACCAACATATGTAAAGTTGTTATTTCTCAGAATTCATGGGTCGTTAAAATTTGGAATATTTTCTTTGTTTATTATGCTTTTATAAGAACAATAGGTTACATAAACTTGTTACTTTACAGAATTACTTGGCGTTTTGCCAAATTATTTTAATTACGAAAGAGGAATTAATTCTAAATTTATCTTGTCTATGGCTCATAATTATTTTTAAACATTTGCCATAAGCCACCGCTAAGTATGAGTAATGATTTAATTATCTTTAATTTCAATGTATTTCGTTGAATTGAAAATATATGTGTAAAACAAAACTTGCAAACGAACAAACACATTATACTCGAAGACTGCGCACTTTAGACTTCTTGTGGCCCGGTTCATCTTTTATTCATAAGGAGGTGTGTTTATCGTTATGTTTTTTCGCATGTCACCGACTGGTTGTTAAATTAGTAAAATCAAATTCTGCCTAGATAAAAAATCTCATTATTTATTTAGTCTATTAAAACAGTATATGTAAATTGATGTTTTTGTCAAAAATAAATATTACACGTTACTTGGACAGTTTCAAAACTATCTAGAATTCCAAATAAATAACAGTTTTGTTGATGTCCAGTAAGTACATGACTGGACTGGTAAATTGTAGTTCACAAACGATAGGTGACATGTAACAATAACGATTGGATTTTATTTATTTTGTCTCCATAAATATGTATTTAGAGACGTTCTCTGATTTATTAATCGATTTATCGAAGACAGTTTTCGATACGTAGTTGTTTGTCCTCTCCAGCGGTCATTCGAATACGAATAAAATTTGTAAATAGCTAAGTGTATGTGGTGTTTTTATTTTAAATTCGACATTTACTACGAAATTAAGGTAAAATAAGGCCAGAAATTAAATTGTGTTATGTTAAATGTAACATTGCCATGAAGAGGGGGGAATGAACAAGGTGTATATTTTTAATCAATAAAATAATACACTAATAAAAAAAACTGACAAGTATTTTTGGAATATCTTCAGTCCTTAATTCAGTCTTAATTTAAGTACCTTTCTCTTTATCACCCTTTTCTTATAAGAAGAGGTTGGGAAGAGGAAGCGGATTTGACGGCGGAGGAGATGCATAGGAAGGGAAAATATCATCTTTATGTGCGTGTCCTCCTCCGTCGTATAAGGGTAGGCAACGCATCTGCAATTCCGGATGTCTATGGGCAGTAGCTTCGCCATTTTGGCGGTTTCAGGTAGCCGCTTGCTCGTTTGCCACCTTATGTTATAAAAAAAAGTCTTTAGGTATAATAGGAACCTTAGTATTTTTGATTGATTTATATAATTATTTTATTTTCACCTCTAGAGGGTCTTCCCTATACCCTAGAGACCTCCACATTTAGAAACCAATTAGAATACATCAATGCCAATCATATATCAATAATATATTAAAACGGACACTTTTGACTAAACTATCGCACAACTGTGGTGCGATTGTCGATTGTTTTGTATTCAATTCAACTGTTTAGTTGCATAAATACGAGTAGTGCACCTCTTGCAGTGCAGGCTTATAAGAATCATAGCGAGACTAAACAGTTAGATAGTTGAGTCAGAAAAGGCAATAGGAATATTTTCTTGTTAAAAATGTCCCATTTGAAACTGTCTATAACTAAGGATATTTTCCAGGGCACAATAGCGTCTATATTCAACGATTCGTCAACACTGGGCCGTCGTTACGTATTCGATATTAGACGCACGTGTCGCGAGGTACACGACCGCGCTCGCCGCGCCGCGCACACGCACGCATACGCACATGAACCACGCACGAGACGTAGATCCGGCAGTCAATATGAGGTAAGCAGTTATAATGCGGCTATCAGAAGATTGATTTTATGGTTGGTTTTAAGAGCAATTTTTCTTTAAAACAGTATTGTGGTGAAAATAATTAGAATAATATATTAAGCTTATAAATTGGACAAGTCCAATGTTTCATTCATTTGTACATAATGCCCGCGTGGAATTAAAAAACTTAAGTAGTCCATGTTTTCTTCCACACTATCCTCTACATCTTGACTTCTTCGAGATCCATTTAGCAGTTTAGCTACAAACTGTAACAAACATCCATCTAAACTTTCGCATTTATAATATTAGTATGATAAGGAAATAAGATTAATAAGATATCTTAGTAATATTATAAATGCGAATGTTTGGAAGTTTGTTGATCTAGACGAAATCTGGAAGAATACATAGGCTATAATTTTGTTTTTTTTTTTAAATTCCATTCGGCCGGAGTCGCGAGCGAAATCTTATATGTAATTAGTTTTTGACGATTATGTCACTTCCAACGTTTACTACACCTATGTACTTATTAATATACTAGCTTTCGCCCGCGACTCCTTCCGCTTAGAATTATAAAAAAAACAATAGCCTATGTGTTTTTACAGACAATCCTCTACATCTATACCATATTTAATCAAAATTCGTTCACAAGTTTAGGCTACAAACTCTAACAAACATCCATCTAAACTTTCGCATTAATAATAGTAAGAGTTGTGTAATGTTAGTCGATGTCACTATCCCACATGACGAGAATCTCGTGAAAGCCGAAAATGAAAAACTATTAAAATATTTGGATTTGGCTCACGAGATTACCGCCATGTGGCGTATGAAATCGATTACCATTATTCCGATAGTCGTTTCGGTACACGGGCTGATAGCGAAAAGCTTCGACCAACACCTCAAGAAGCTCTCGCTAGACAGTTGGATTAAGGGCCCGATTCAAAAGGCGGTTATTTTAGAAACCGCACGACTAGTGAGAAGGTTCCTGTCTCTGCAGCCCTGACCACTGGTTGCTTGAGTCATCGGATTCCGCAGCCGGTCGTGCTCTATTTTTTATATAATGTATTTTATTTTATTTTTATATTCTTGTAAAATGTATTATATAGAGAATAAGAAATAAAGATATATGGAATAATAGTAAGAATAATAAACATTTGTGTTTAGGACGCCCGGCCGCGCTCTCGCAGCAGCAGCAGCGGCAACGCGGGCGAGGCGCTGGCGTGTCGCGTGTGCATGGACGCCGCCATTGACACGCTACTGCTGCCTTGCAGACACGTTGTGTGTTGCCAGAACTGCGCACCAAGGTAATATATCTGGACTTCTATACTAATATAAAGTGTAAACACACACTTCTTTGTTGCCTAAGATGTCTGCAATTACAGCATATTTTTGAATATTTCTTTTTAAAAAAGCCCTACACTTGCGTCACGCTTTAGGATATATATTTTATCGATATTAAACTTAGAGGGTAAATATTTTGGATAAAAACCCTAATGTGGGAAATAGACCATAAGTTATTGCTAACATCAAGGAAGCAAGGTTGCCATGGTATGACATCATGTCATGTCATTTTGACACAATTGATAATTTGACAAATGTGGACAATAAAATGAAATTTTTATAATTTTATGCGGATAAAGTCGCATGGGAACAGCCCCTACATTATCATCTCCCCTACTTTATCCTACAAGGGGTGCAACAGGTTTTTGTCCTCCAAAAAACTCTATCATACGTCATCTCAGTCATCACTACCTTCATCATGTCACCTTTCACACAATCCATCTCTTTCTATGTCTCCCTCTACCGGTGTACCACACTCATAACTAACGTTCTCCTTGTTATGCGATTCATCCTTCCTTCATAACATGCCCCCATGCTAACCTTTTACTCCTTACCTTCTCTACCACTGGGACTACTCTCAAACATTCATCTACGTTTTATAAATCAAGCGAAACCGCACGGGTACAGCTAGTTAATAATAAAAGACAATATTTTAACGCTTTATTACATTTTTAATAATAAAAATCTTCCATTCACAGATGCGATCGTTGCCCGCTGTGTCGCTGCGAAATAGAGAAGTTAATGCACATATTCCTGCCGGTTGAATATCAGAAAAGTCCCGGAGTTATAATAAAATGATAGATATATCTCAAATCGAAGACTCGACTATGAAACGGCAAAACGAATACGAAATATCGTTTTTGGATACAACGCCCCGCCATTGAGCTCGCGTGACAGCTGTCAAAGTTGACAGTTTGACGTTGAAATTGTGTCTATGGTATTAAGAACGCATTCATTTAAGTTAGAACAATTAAATGAGTGGGAGAATTAAATTGACTCCGTAAGTGACCAGTGAAACTCGTAAAATGTGTGTGTGATTGTTTGTCTAGTCAAAAATGTTGACTTCGTTTTTGCATTTTTTTACTTTTTGTCCAATGGAGTGTTGCCAGGGCCATTCCAATATTTAACAACAAATATATTGGTACTTATCTTAGAGTAAAAAATCAATAAATCTAAGTTAATTAAATAAGAATTTCTTCCTTCGTTTTAGAAGGCGTTAATTTTTATATGATTTTGTTAACACTAACAAATGGCTTTTGTGCCACTTAACAAACATGATTATTAAAAATCTGAAAACCAAAAATAAAAAATCTTTGTAAGATAAATGAAATGTGCATTTTAATATTATTAAAGATATTGTATATTTTGGATAACGCTAACTTTTACGTTAGAACTAATTTTAATTGTAAGACCCATGGTCTATAAGTTCTTTAAGAAAAAATAAACATAATAAACTATGAATGTGTTGTTTTATTTACACCAAAACATGATTAATCTTGTTTGACTGTATAATAAGAATTAGTAAGGTAAGAAGGTAAGAAGACCAGGGATATAAAATCCCTCGACTGTTGCGGAAAAATTTGAAAAAATCCCTTTGATCATGAAAGTGATGTAATGATGGCGATTCCAGCGTCACAGCCATGACATTTACATCTTAGTTAGGCTTTACTACAAAGTTTTAGTTTAAAAATATGACTTATAAGTAAAAAAAATGTTGGACAGTTATAAAACAATAGTTCTTCTGACTATTAAATTTGAAGTACTCCGTCAATAAGTAATTCACAGTAAATATTTGTGTATTGTATTTGCTAAATAACTCGATGGAAATTTACAAAGATAGAACATTAGGAATTCTGAGATTGTTTGTGCCCTAATAATTTAAATAACAAGATCTAAACAAAGTGTTATTCAATAAAAAAAACATGCAGTATTGCTTCTTTTCGTAAGGCGCGTCAACTTTTTTTTTGCGATTATATTGGCAGCATTGACATCTGTCTTGCCATTACCGTAAAGTATTAAACTCTCTAACTCTGATTTAAACATTTAATTGAAAAAAAATAATACTATCATAGCATATAGAATTACAGCACAAAAAATTATCGCTTTTATTAATTTTTTTACTCCTTTCTTGATTGTGTCTGTTTGACATATTACATAGACAGAAATGTCTTGTCATTTTGAAAATCAAAAAATATATTTATTGTCTATGACAAGACTAGTATGTTGCCACTCTAAAAATATAAAAATGACACGTTATAAGATTTTGTTAAATGAGTTTTCAGTATACAATTTCATATTTTCAATAGCTAACAAAGGAAATAATTACGGATTTAATGTTATTTTATCTTTCAATACAATTTGAATTAAGTAACTTTTAATGTTCATTTAGCACATTTGAAAGTAAATATTTTAACTGTTTAAAAGGAGAACAGGACTGAATTCCTTCTCCGTTTATGTTATTAGTTATTTGGTGAATTTTATTATTCATTCAGCTAATGTTTTGGTTACCTTTTAAAACTCTGAGCCATAATATGGGGAGAACGAGTTATAATGGCAATATTTTCACTAATTCGCACGAGCCCAAGATGGCTGCCAATTTATGTGAATGCAAGGACGAGTTGTAAAGTGATATTCGTTAGTTCGGTGATATTTAGTTTATACTGTGATAATAACTTTGTAAATATTACGTGGCTGAAGTGTAAGTGTTTACGTGCAATCTGTTATGAGTTTTCGATGGTTATAAATCTATATGTGCAATATTGCGTTAGAAGTCATTTAAAATGTTCTGTGTTGAGTTGTGATTATTATTTATGCAGTGACAGCCCTATCTGGGCTGATATGATGCTTGTTGTTGGATGATACCGGTCATTTCATGTGAGTACAAATTTTTAGATTCGTATTTATGAAGAAGTAGAGTATGTGACGAGCTAAAACTGATTTGTAAGTCGTGTTAACCTATTTGACTATATGGGGAGTTTGGTGTAGCGTGGCGAAACGAGGCGCCGGTTCGGTACCGGGCCGTTCGGGCCTCGTAGCAGCTGTTCGATTCACTCGCTGTCTTTACCTTAAAAATCATTAATCACACAATTTTTTTACTGAACATCGAAGTTTTCTAAGTTACATTATCCAGTCCCGTATGTCTTTGCGGATTTGTATTTTGTAGTCATGTTTTATAATAAAAATGCCTTTTGTGGCAAACAAAAAATAAAATAGAAGACGTTCAGCGGATTATAAAACACTCACAATGCTTGTTTATGGATAAACATCAATCAGTGTTGCAAGTACCTGTTCAAAATTTACACAATGTTAAAATTATGTAATTAATTTGGAAATGCAGATAAAAGGCGCATTTGAATTAGTTAAGTAGGACAAGGCCATAAAATTATATTAAAATGGGGGCAGTCATTTGACAATAAATGTTTCATGTTAACCTCATTCCATTGTGATAATAAACTTTTCCAATGGAAATTTACCCAAAAACATAGTATGCAGTTATTTATCTTTGCATATAACATTTTCACATACAATTGTTTGAGTGAAATCACATTATTTTTATAAAGAAAGGTTTTTATTGTTATGACAGCATTGAGACATGTTTCATAATTCCATTGTGTTGAGAATACTGTGGTTGGTATGTGAAAATAAAAATGTTTATACAGTCAGCTCTATTCAAGTTAATGGGTTAGTGTACTTTCTCTACATCCCTTTGTTACTTTATCCAGTATTCAATGCTAGTAATATTAAAGAACATGTCTTCTGTTGTAGAATTTAATTCCCTTCCCACTTAACAGATCTTGTTATCACCAAAAGAGTTATAACTTAGCAAGTATTCATTTTACAATAATGCATGTGGTCATATGCATGCATTGCATTGTAAGATGCATAGCAAGGTGTAAAGAAGGAATAAAGATAAGAATATGTATGTTAGAGAAATGAATGATTTAAAACAATGGAAAATTTCATTTTTAAAATGTATTCAGATCCTTACATAAACAATAAAGAAAAGGTATGTTTTAAAACAAAGAGATCTTCATTCTATATGTTTTAGTTTAATTCTTTACACATGGTTTGAATCTTGACCTGTGTGAGATACATGATTTACAGCCAAATTATTTCAGGAATACATTACTTGTTACAAGTTGCCATATAACTATTTAACGGTCATAAGAAGTTTCTATGGTAGGAAACATATTC